CTCTGTTTCTGGCAGGACCATGGGCAGCAGCACTTGGAGGTTGCTACTAGGCCACCATTTGAATAGGTTGGGTGTACATACAGCCCGACTAATAGTTGGCTAAAGGTCTTTTAGCTTGGTTGATGGTTTATAACCATCAACAAGCTTCTGGCATAATTCTAACTGAATATTTGGCCACTCTTCTTGTCAGTTAATCTGGTCAGCTTCCACTGGCACAGACAGAGCTTTTAAGTGCAGTCAACAACTTTTCAGTAGGGTTGAAGTCAGGGGGCAGGGATAACTCTGTAGGTAGCGTGTTCACCCCCATGATTAGAAGGTCAGGGGTTCAAATCCTTTGAATGGCTATCCTGAGGTACTCTTGAGCAAGGCAGCGTCCGTGAACAATGCTCCCTGATTGGTAGATTCACCCTGTCCACTGCTTCACTGAGTGAATGGGTTAAATGCAGATGACTAAGCAATTTCCTACGGGACAACATCTTAAAATTAGTTTGCTTTTTCTATCCCAAAACTGGTTTTGACACATGATTGAGATCACTATTGGAACACCCAATTGTGTCTAAGTGCTACCTATGTACGTGCTGAATTGAGGTAAAGTTGAAGAATTTGAAGGTAGTCCTCCTCCTTAATGTTTACATCCATTTTGTGGAGTGTACCAATCCCACTGGCAGCAAAACAGTGCTCTTCTGTAAAAAAGCCTCACCTTTAGGCCTCCAAATATATTTCTTATCATTTTGGCCAAGAAGCTCATTCTTAACCTCGTCTGACTGTTAAAAGGGCCTGAAGTTTAGTGGTTCCTTGGTTATTACTGAGCATCTTAACAAGTTTCCTCCCATCTAAGGGTGACAGTTTAGGTCTTCTTCCAGACCTTGACAAAGTGGTATAACTTGTACTAATGTACAGTTATTTGAACTACTAATCTGCTGTAATTTGGAAAAGGCTCCAAGAGACTCTCCCACTTTGAATCTGCAGTTCCTCCTCCTTAGATTCACTAAGTTCCTTCGACTTGGTGAACTGAGTACTGAATATTTTTGTCCATCTGTTTCCTGCACAGGGCAGCACAGTGGTGCAGCGGTTAGCACTATTGCCTCACAGCAAAAAGGTTCAATTTGATGACTTTCTGTGTGGAGTCTCTGTGTTCTCATTGTGTCTGTGTAGGTTCCCTCCAGCTTCCTCCCACAGTCCAAAGTCACCCAGTTAATGGGGTTAGGTTAATTGCTGATCAACCACAGGTGTGAGTGGTTCCTTGTCTCTATGTGTTACCCCTGTGACTGGCAGCCTGTCGCATTGGGACCCCGGGACAATATATTGGATAAGCAGAAGAGAATAGGCATCTGTATTACCTGAGCCAATGCCAGTGACACAATGTGCATTGACCACTGCAGAGCCAGAGTACCAAAGGTATCCTCACCTTGCCCCTTGATAGCCTGTGGTAGACCCCTTTATTTTATCCATAACGAGCTGCTTAATCCTCTGGTAAATCTAGTCGTTCAACCTTTAGTGTCATAATATTTTCACCTCCATGCTTAACTGTGGGATGTTGTTCTTTGGGTTATACACAGCATTTCTCTTCTGTCAAACACAGCTGGTCACGTTGATCCCATGGAGCTCCAGACCAAGACAAATTGATGGTCATTTTATATTTCTTCCATTTTTGAATAACCACACAAACAGTTGTCACCTCATCGCTAAGCTGCAGCACTACAATCTTGTCCTTAACATTTTTTGGCAGCTCTTTGGACTTGTCTATCGTTGTGGCGAGGTTGGATTGGAAGAAAGTGATTCTGTGGACAGGTGTCCTTTATACACATGATAAGCTGGGATGTGTCTGTAATAGATGTATTGATTGATTGCAATCTTGATTGTGACCTCCCAGCCAACTGTGGGAGTCACAATTCTAGCTGTGGGTCAAATACTTATTTATTTCAGTGGCATACAGATTAACTTCTAATAATTTTGGTTGGTGTTCTGTCTCTTTATTAGAAACAAACCATAAAAATTTGGGAATGATTATTTCAAATGAGCAACATTTAAAATTCAGCACAGGACCAAATAATTATTTCCACTACCTCATGACTGGCTCGACTGCTGGTTGTAGTTTAGTCAAAGGTGCACACCTTCAAACCCAGCAAGAGGCCTTTTGTAAACTTCAGAATAATTCAGCTAACATTTCTTTACTCCAAGAAATATGTTACACACAGTTATTTGATCAACTGTTCATATACAAATATACAGGTAAGTAAGCTTAAACGTACCTCCTGAGGTGGAGATGTTGTTGGTTTCCTGTCCTGCTTAAGGGCAACAACTTGTGACTTGCTGTCATCTAAGGAAGAACAACTCAAACGCTTCTTATTACGAGGCATCGGTAGAGGCTGACCTGATAATTCTTCTCTTGTTTCCCTTTGCCTGGAAATAAACACAAATACAAAGCAAATTATAAAAATGTAAGCATCTTTATTCTAAAAGAAATGATTTATTAGTTGCTGACAAGTTTCCAGACCATGTTGCTAATTTAAAAACATTTTTGAGTTTAGTTTCACTTTTTTAAGGGATGCAAACTTTAATGTAAAAAGAGAAAGAAAAATATATACACATCCAAGTTAAAATTTTCCCCCTCACACATCGTAATGCGTATTGACTAATCTTACCTGAACTCTGAACAACCTGCAGTGACAGACACAAAGCCAAAGTCCAACTCTTCATCTCTCTTTTCCTTTTTTAGGTCAATTTCCATTTGTTCACTATCTTTATTATCGTCTAGATGCAGCCAGTCATCCTGAGAAGCAACAGTACTTGCAAGGTGCCTATCAGTCTTTGCTTCCTGGACTGTCTCCATTACATACTGTTCAGTTACTGCCTCTACAGCCTTCTCACGGGGATCTGTAAAAACGTGTTCGTCTGTAAAAGTCCAGCCTTCAGTGGTCTCACCGAAAGCGTGCTCTGTATCATCTCCACCTGACTGACTAAACTCTTCTTGCATTGCTGCTAGAACTTCCTTTTCCAATTGTAATGTATTGTCATATTCTTGATGAATTGTGACAAAACCTAATTCGGATATCGTACTTGACTCCAGTGATGGTGGGCCTTCCTTTGATTCCTTGTTAGTGACAGCTGAACTATCTGAGATTTCAGTGTCGTCTGGGAAAAAATCACTAAGACGTTTCTTTACTCTTGGTTTTGGCACTGGCAAACGTGAGAGTTTTACTGGAGACTCTGAGGAATTATTATCCTCTGCTTGAACATTTTCCTCATTGGTTAATCTGCTTTTCCTTAAGTGTACACCAGCCACTACTTCTGGTTGGTAAACTGGGGAAAGAAGAGGAAGGTCTTTATTATGTTCCACCTCTGACAGTTCTTTAGCTGTTGAAGAAATTTGTGAAGGGCTACCATGCCTTGCTGACTGTGCCTGTTCTCTATTATCAGCTTTAGAGGCTCTTTCTGTAGCTGAAAGGTCACCAGAGAAGGTGCCACTGGAATGGATATTCATACAAGGCTTTGGGATAGAATAAGCTGTTTCTGTTAGGCTTTCAGTTTCTGCAGTGACTGGTGCATCCTCTGACTTTTGAGGAGTTTTAATTTTAAGTGCATGAATAGATGCGTCACAAGTTATTGCTGGTTGACTTAGTTCTTGCCT